TTTTTAGCTCCAACACACGCGATTAATTTTTCAACTAACTCTCTTCATAAAGCGAATTGTATTTCTTGTAAATTTGTTGTCGAATTTTTTACTGTTAATTTTCTTATTATTTTTTACATATGTTACTAATATTTATTTTTGTTCTTCGCTTATTTTTTAAAATAAAACATTAGAGGGTTTCATTTTGTTTCTGCGTACTATATTGCCAAGGTATATAGAGCTATATTGCTATAAGACAACTTTTAACTGTAGCACGTGTAAACTAATTCACGTTGATTTGTTTACAACTTGTTACACTCAAGTTGATTGGTCGAATCAGTATAGTCGCAAACCCAGATGCATTGTAAATAATCCCATCATGCTTAACGACACACGGAACCAAGTGAGTTTGATGTATTTCCGCTCGCCTTTCGAGTTCGCTCGAAAGGTCTAACTCGAGACAACCGACTATGTGAGTCATAGTAACACGAGTGAATTCGATGACGTCAGTTCGAGTACAACACGAAAAACTCGAGACTAAGGGCCCTGGATGCGGTATATGTGTAGCATCCACCAGCTAAACCGAATGAGGTTGGTGCTCTGTAAAGCGCATGCGCGAATCTGGCTTTTTGGATACTGACAATACAGCGTTTCCACTCCGCCACAAATATTCGAATATACAATAGCAATCTTATCTTTTTTTCACGTGTAATATAGAAATTTGTAATAAGATACATAATGCGGTTATAATAAAATATTGTGCGATTTTTTTCATATAAATAAAATTAATATGCATTTATTTTTTAGAAAATACAAGGGAAGCGGCGCATCCACCGCTTCCAATGACGGCACGCCACTGGATTCCCTCTGCTAAGCGTCTGCTCTATCAAGCACGCTTGTTCTAAATTTCTCCCTTCGAAGAAATCACTAAAGTTCTACGCGTCGACTCGTTCTCACGTTTTATATCCTCACAGTATTTAGCCACGATTTTACAAAAGTTAAAGCGTCCAAATCTTTAAATTCTTTTCCTACTATACTGACTGTCATAAATTCAGATATTTGTTCAACAATTATTTTTGTATCATTGAACTGAAACTTTTCAAAAGTCTGCGCTACTTGGACGTCTAGTCCAAGCAGACGCTACTAGTCTGCGTTACTATTGCGCTAGGACATCAATTATTTTTCTAGCTTCTATTGTTTCAAGAACTGATGCACTTTTCCCTCTCCATTGTTATGATTTCAGAGATTTTATAGATATTTAGTTTGAATTTCAAAACTTCATTTTATCTATTTAATTTTCTTTCATCTTCCATCCTCCATGAAGTTAATTCTTCATAGTGTCAAATGGATTTATCTAATGTCATTGCTTTTAATTAATATGTAAAACACTGTTTATCCTTCATAATCTATTGATTAATGAATTTTAACAACAGGCTCACGAATTTTTCGTGAGTGATCTGTTCTAGATATGAGAACTACACTCTTACAAAAGATAACAAAACTCTACTAATAATAGGTCTAATAGTGCATAAACGTTCCTTAAACGAATTTAAGTTGTTTAAAAAATTAACAAGCATAAAAGCAAGTGAACTGGTTTAATTAATTAATTTTCTTCAAATTTTCAATTTTATGCTCATTGTTAACAAAATGTTATAAACTAAAATAAAAGTAGAATCCTCCTCTTATTTTAGGCTCTCTAGACAGAGGACCTTTTTTCAAATCCATTGTGACTTGGCCAAGCCCATAGTGGAGCAGTTAAGTGATGAGGGACCAGAGCTCTAATATCTGGGATAAACCACAATCTGAAAAATTCCTAAGGTTTTTTGACCCCATTCATATTCATTCCTGGAACCCTGACTTCTGGGTTGACACCAACTGCTCGGGCCACCCAGCAATCTCTACCCTTTATTTAGCTGTCATGGTCTACTTATTGTACAATACATGTGTATTGAACAATCAACTGTGTTATTAAAATCAGTGGCACATCCAGAAGGGAAATAGAGCCCTGGTATCCTCCAAAAAAAAAAAAAAATTGGAAACTTTCTAGTTTTCTTCCAAGATATTTTTCTTAATTAAATTAAATTTTCATTTATACTATATTGTTTTGTGTCATATTTCTATACTACTTATAAATTGGGAACTTTATTGTATTCACATCTAGCGCTTTAATTAAATATCGTAGTTAAATAATTTTAAGTAGGAAATTGGCCTTTTTTGTGTAGTTACACAAAAATATTACTGTAGAATCTTGATTATCCAAAGCAATGTGGACCAATGCTATCTTGAATAAAATGGCAGCCACAGACATTTCGGATTAAAAATTACAAATACAAAAGGTTTGTGAGGTACAGTATATTATTTTTAACTTTAAACCTCTTTTTATATATAATTAAATTCATTAAGGTATAAAGAACAATTTTTAAATCATTTATTATACAGATACGTATAATACGAATAAAATTATGTATTATTGTAGTTATGTTTTAATAGGAAGAGTTTGTCTCACATTGAAGTTAAATAATAAAACTAAAAACAAATCATTTTGTAATACATGTTGATATCTTTCAAAACTTTTCTTGTGCTGTAATTTATAAAAAGGTAGTGTATTCATAGTTTTGCCTTAGATGTGGAACTTCTTAATTGGGATTCTCCTGTCATTTATGACTATTTAACAACCATAGCAAAGAGGGATTAAATGATCTCAAAATGTATCTACAGCTCTAGAATGGTAATTTATGAAATAATAAGTATTTTACAAGGCAAGCATTGCTTAGGACTAATCCGTTCTTATAGAAAACACTAGTGCTTTAAAAATTAAATATTTATTGTTTTAACTGCATTTTGCTTGCAGGACTGTAGTTTGAATTGCTAGCATTTGTATTTAAATTATAGACTGGATGAATTACCATTATAACTAATAATTATAACTTAAAAAATTGAATAATAATAAATTTTTTTACTTGTATTTTTTAATATGTCAGAGTTAATAAAACTAGATTTTTCACTACACTTACCCTTTGCTAAATGTTATCAGTAGTTTGAAGACAATTACAATAGACATTCTATTCTACATTTATATATATAAACAATTTGGTTTCTAAAATATTATAAAGTAAGTTGTTCATTTTTCAAAAGAGAATTTTGAAATCTTGAAATGAATGAAAAGATTAGTATAAAAAAAGATGTTAATATTCAAAGATGTCATGGCAGAAGCATTACTAAAAGCAGCATCATTTTATTTTTATCTCTAGGTCAGTGCCACCAGAACACTAACATTGTTTTTCTCTATTTTTTCCAGATAATCATTTCAATACTTAATCTTATTACAGTCTCAAAACACTTGTTATTACAGAAATCAGTTTTTAAAATCATCAATTAATGCTATTTAAAATCATTGTTAATAATAAATTAATACTGTATTTGAACTGAATTTCATTCATACACTGACAACATCAAATGTAAAAATTATAAATGGATAAAATTTATTTACCATTTTTAACCAATACATTTAACTGTATTGTATATATATATAATATATTTATGTATTTTTTGCAAGGCTTCCTAAGAGCTAAATTGATTAAGGCACTTCACTAAGGAAAATAGTACAAAATTAACAATTTGGCAACAATAAAATGTCATAAAAAATAGTGATATTCCAAAAGCAAAATAATAGCTACCTCTGTTAGTTAAGAAAAATTTATGGCAACCACCACTTTACATGGCACAACCTGATAACTGAAAGTGGTATAGGAATTGATTCAAAATAAGTTAAAGCAAATTTCTTTTTACAAAATGAAGTTTCTTCACTGTTGATGCAGAGTATGTATGATAATCTTGTACACATTATGAATTTTATAAACTGAAAATTTATTTTTGCTTTGTGAAATACTTTCATCTGCTATCTGGGATGATTTGTCTTCCTGCACCATAAGGAGTCATTCCTGCCTGAGATGCACCTTTGTTACTTCCTGATTGAAGACTAATAATTGTCTTTCCAAGTTCCAATGTTTGTTTATCAAAACTTCTTCTATTCTCATCTGACACTTTTACACCAATTGTTGGGCCGTTATATCCATTCTTTTGAGCCTTTAATGTACAAATAATAAAATTATTTTTGTATTTGATAGATAAATTATATAAAATATTAAATATGTTACTTACCAAGCCTCCAAGAGCAAACAAACAGTTAACGACCTAAAATATAAGATGCAATTAATAACAAAATAATTAAATAATACATATTATATATATAAATGAGAATGCTTTAATCTAAAACCCAATAACAAAACTGAAACAGATCTGTTTCAAAATCAAAACCATTCACACTTCTCCAGCAAATGGATTTATTCATTAAATGAACATACAAATGTTTTTGGTTTAATTTATAAGACTGACTTAGAAGTTTAGGAGTCTAAATACCAATTCATGTAAAAGGCTGAAAAGGCTTATGTGAATTGGTATTTAGACAGCTTGAAAACAAAGTTTTAAGGGATTTCTTACCAGAAATTATCCTTTACAATAGATATATCAATGATATGATATGGAAATCAAAATCAGACATCAATAAGGTTTTAGATGCTTTAATAACTCTAATTATAAATTTAGAGCAATGCAGTAAGAGGCCAAATTCCTTAATCACTCTCCAAAATGGATGTATTAATACCGTGTGGGTGTTCTACAAATTAAATTATCAACTGTTATTCATACCTTCCCATTCACATGACCCATTTGCTTATAAAATTGTGGCTTTCAGAGTTCTAGTCAGAAAAATATATACACACTGTTCAGACATCACAAACATTACGAAAGAACCCAACACATATAGAAAAAATAGCCATAACACATGAATACAATAGAAAACTAATACAAAACCTGGCATAAAAATTGGAATACAAATATACAGTGGTATCTCGGTATACATCTGCTTTAGAATACGTCCTGTTTGGACGAAACAAATTTTGCTTGATATACGACTTTTGTTCGGTATATGACATAATTCAATTATACGTGCCATCAATGAACAAGTAGCACTATCAGTGTACCAGACCAGACTAGATGCAGCCAGATGGCCGAGCGGTCAAGGTGGCAGCCTACTGCCCTGGGAGACCCGGGTTCGAATCCGAACGGGTCGAAAAATCCCCAGGAATATTTTGGGGTGGTCTGTTTGGATATGTCGGGCCCCGTCCCTCACCACCCAGCAGCTCCATTGTGGGCCTGGCCAAACCCATAATGGGCTTGCAAAAAGAGGCCCTCTTAGTGCCCACAGGGTGGAAAAAAAAACCAGACTAGACGTTCGATGTGCAATGGTTTATAACTTCGTTAAATTTCTTCTGATTTTAATTCGTAAGTAAAATTTTATTATTTTTATTAATCATGAATCGCAAAAAGGCAAATGAAGAGAGACAGAAAACTAAAAAAATGACTAGAATTACAATGGAACTGATGAAAGAGATTGTTGAGAAATACGAAGGTGGCATGCGCGTTCGAGATTTTAACTGTTGCCTACCATATTCCGAGAACGACGATATGGACAATCATGAAAAATAAAGACATTATTAAATCTGCTAACGTTGCAAAGGGTTAAATCAATTTCTAAACAGAGATTGAAGACATTAGATCATGTCGAGAAATTGCTTTTGCTTTGGATAACTGAAAAACAGTGCTGGAGACAGCGTATCGGAAGCAATTATTTGCGAGAAAGCTAAAAAGATACACGCTGATCTCACGAAAAATCATGCAAGAACTAGCCAGGAAAGCGAGGTGTTTAAAGCCAGCCATTTTTTTTACACGAGAACGGATTAATCATTTTTACATTACTTCTTATGGGAAAGGTTGGTTTGGTATACGTCCAATTTGGTATAAGTCCAAACATCAGGAATGGATTAAGGTCGTATATCGAGGTTCCACTGTATTAAGCATCCACACCCAGGGATCACCAGTGTACAACCTCATCTTCCAACAACTAAGCAAATAATTATAGATTTTGATCATAAGACTTGAATTGATTTATAAACAAATTGATAAATTTAAATGCCAGATTATGCATTGTAGGAATGCCACAATCTACAAACTGCTACTCAAGAGTAAGGATGAGACACCAGGTGTGTACTCAATCCCAATAGTAAATGAAAAGTTTAATCACCAATATAAATTAAATCTTTAAAATGCAGACTAAATAAACACAAATATGAAATAGCTAACAATAAATCAACAACTCTGTTCAACATGCCATAGAGCCCAGGGTGTCCACAAATCTAAACAAAGAAAAAAAAAATAAAACAGGACTACAATGAATACTGCTTAAAACATTGGAGATAATCAAAGCCACATTGAAAAATACTTGTATTAACCATAAGGACAGAATCCCTAGCTAATGATTGGCAGTCTTTCTTTGATAACCCCAAGAAACAAAAATACCAATATATGCAATAATGATACTACAGAGATTATGCATGAAAAGACTTAGGCATGTTTGTAGATTATTGTTCATGTTTATGTGCATTTATATATATATAATAAAATAATAAAATAAATAAATAAATATATTTTATTATTTTATTTGCTTTGTATTTCATTAATATGCACTGTATTTATCTTTCTGTACTTGGTATTTAATAAATTTTTAAAATATTGTACTACAAATGTTTGAAACATTCCAAATTGGAATTTCAGAACTGTATAGTTTGAAACTAAATCTGAGGCAGATTTATAGATTAAATCAAAAATGTTTGGTTTATTCCTTAAACAAACAAAAGTACAATTTACTGAAAAAAATGTGAATGGTTTTGATTTTGGAAGCATCTGTTTTAGCATCATGATGCAGAAGGATAATAGTTCTTGTCAAGGATCATCACAATGAATCTTATTGCTTGCAAACCTATCATTGGTCACAGGAAAAGCTGAAAACTTTCACCAAAGCAAGTGAAAGGTTATGTTAATTTATTTTTACTACCAAGGACCACTTAAATTTTTTCTAGAAGGTTCACTATCGTTCAGAATGTTACTGCAAGATATTCTAAGTCCTATATAGAGCATCAAATCAAAATATCCAAGCCTCCTTACTGATGGGAGTGATGCTCCTGCATAACAATGCATGACCCTATATTGCACAGTCTATTGGTAAAATGTTATTGGGAAATGTTGTGCCCTCTTTCATATAGCCCTGACCTGTTATCATGTGATTTTCACATGTGGCGCAATAAAAAAAACTAAACTAAAAGGACAGGAAATTGGACAATATGGTAAAGGAGGCAGTAACAATTGGTCCAACAGCAATCACACAAATTCTATAAGAAAGGTATTAGGCATCAGGTGTCTCATTAGAACAAGTGTCTAAATAGCAATGGAGTGCCTCTGGTTTCAACATACACAGAATATTTCAAGTTGTTCTGGAACATTTTGACTCCTCTTATATGTAGGTGTTATTATTTCCTACAACAACCAAGTACAACAGGTTTACATTTGCACATTTGAAAAAAATTAATAATATTAATAAATTCAGATCTAATTAAACATTAATTAATTAAAATTAACTAGATTAATTATTAATACATACATGTATGTAGTATTAATAATTAATCTAGTTAATTTTAAATGAATTACTTTCTTCAGTTAAAAATTTAATTGGAAATTTTCATTACTAACACTGTAACTAAAAGTAAACATGCAATTGTTTATATACAGTAATGAGGAAAAACAGAACTATTGAATCAATAGCAACTTTATTGCACATGCATTTTTATTAAATAATTGACTCTTACAGCAGTTTTATTGTAATCCAAATAATTCTTAATGTAACTTTTAGTAAAGACTAATAATGTTTGTTCATTAAACAAAAAAAAGTTTAATAAAATCTTAACTTTTTTTTGGAATGTGCAAAATTTAAACCTGTCATCATGTAATCATTATCATCAATCATATAAATTTAAAATTATTACATAACTTAATAAATCAAGTAAACATTGTCAAAAAATATGCACATTTATGCATAACATCAGCTAGCTAACATATTTGCTTAAATTGGCAAAATAATAACACTTTATGAACATAACATGAATGTTAAGAATAAACTCAGTATGTAAGGAATGATTATTATTCATTTCATCTGTAACCATATCTAACCAGTTTAATTTATTAATATAAAAACAGGTTGTTTTTGTTCAATGTCTTATTGCTGATTGGATTAGTAATCACTTAAAGTTTGTGGTAAGTAAAAATTATTACAACAGATGAATATACAGGATGTTTCACATAAGTTGTTACAAAATCAATAACTTGGAGAATATGCTTCTGATACAAACAAAGAACTGATGGTAATAAAAGTTTAATATTTTTACAGCATTAAAAAGACCTGTGAAATGAAATTTCAAAAATAGAACCCCAATGGATGCTCTTAAACTCTGAAAATGTTTTATTCAAGAAAATGCTCATAACTTTTAAAAATCATCATATTTATTGGTGTTTTGAAGGATAATATTAAAATGCAAATCCTGTGGAGTTTCATAAAGGATCAAATTTTGTCCAACAACCATGATTCAAGATATGAAGCAAAGACTAAGTGATGTGCGAGCTAAAATTAACAAAGCCATTTTTTTCTTTTGAAAAATACATTCTCAAAAAGAGTTTAATTTTTAACAGAGAATTAAAAAATTGGGGGTTCCACTTGAAATTTCAAAGTTGCCTCTGCTCTACTCAGAAGGGAAGAATGGGGGAGGCTTTTTATTTACAACATTAAAAAGACCAACCCACAAGAACCTTATTATATCCCAGTAACAACAAATTTTAATTAAAACTAATGTTTTTGACCATAATCATGGTCTTCTTCAGGCTTTTGACCAGTACGATTCTAATATGAAACACATCAAACACTGTGTTTAAATTATTTTAAAATTCAGAACATTTAAAATTTAGAAGGTAATTTTTAGCCATATGTGCTACCATAGCAATGAAAACATCCTTACACAACAACAAATAAATAATAATATGTACTTAATGGTGTAGAATAATGTTGCTCTTGTTTTTTCTCATATTACCACCTCCAAGCATAAGAAACATTATTGGCATCCTTTCTGCTAATACAATTGCCAGCCAGTCTGGCTTTGTATATTTCTAAAGCTTCCATGTTGCAAAGGTGCTCAACTTGATGTGACATTTTCACTAATTTAACCTTATGAAGATTGGCTTGTATTTTGGGGTTCGTGGTGTTGGCGGCTAGGACAGTGGTATGCCTTTGGTTGGCGATATCATACCCATGCTCCTGTATTCTTTTGTTTAGTGAGTGCTTCGTGGATCCGATGTACACTAGATCACATTGGAATCTGTGGTCTCTGGGGAACCATATATATTATCCTTCCCAGTGATTCTAAGAGAAGTTGTTTTATTAAAAAGATCCTTTGGAAATACTAAACAGTTATTCTTATTAATTTTTTTCTATTAGAAGGCTATTTTGAGCAATTGACTAAACACTATGTGACATATCCTGTATATTTAATAAAATTATTCCATTAAAATTAATATTGAAATCATAATAATAAATAACACTTGTTTATTGATACAAAAGTAATATCTGAAATGAATCATATCTTAACTATATTATCAACATTTTACATTCAATAATAAAACATAGTTAAAAAAAAACAAAAAAATTAATTTTTAATGAGCCTGTCATGAAGTTTATAATTTATGAGTATAGATGACTGAACTATTACTGTCTACCATACAATAAACTGAAAACTTTATGGTTTGTATACACACCTGACATAATTCTTTAATAAAATCAAATTACATTATAAAATCATTTCTTTATACATAGTATTACATTTATTAAAAAAGAATCTTACCATATACAGATTTTTTCTTTCATATAAATCATTCACTTGAAATAAATCATGAGACTTTAAACCATATTTGATACAACCTTTTAAGAACATTTCTAAATTCTCTCTCTGAAAATATATAAATACATTAAAGATGATAGAGACAATTGCATATATATTTTGTCTGTTGTATTTTACTTATTAATAATGAACATGAATTATTCAAAATTTATTTGTCACTTTCCAGTATCATTTAAGAGAACATCAAAAATTGGATTGTGCATAAATTTTTAGACATATGATGCATATGCTGTACACACTTGATTAGACCTAATGTAAGTCTACTTTTTTAAAATCTGTTTGAGGTGTGGGTTTATTCAATCCTGTAAAGTTAATTTGAATTTAATTTTTTTTTCTTCATAATTAGATTTTGGTATGTGTTAATGTGACTGACCACATGGGTCATTAAATGAAAATCAAAAATAATTCTAAAAAGTAACACAGATGACAAGAAATGTAATGCAATAATTTACACATAATTTTGAGTAATCTGTTTGCAGTAATCCAAAGCTTGGAAAATGTGATTCCAATAAACCTACATGTAGATTTATTCTGGTACAGTGGGTTTATTATTATTTTTTTAAATTCAATTGGAATGTAGGCAGGGTTGTCAAGAGCTTGATTTTTCTTATTGTATGGTAGCCATGTTTGGACTTTCTAATACAGGTATACCTCGCCTTATGTCAATAATTGGTTCCAGGAGAGGCAACGTAAGTTGATAAACGACACAAGTCGAATTTACTTGTCACTAGGCTAAACCATAAATTACCATTCCCGGTTCTGTATTTTATTTATTAATGCATTTTTAATAATATATGGTTAATAAGGATCTATTTTAAGCTTACAAACAAATAAATTTTAGTTTTTAGAAAAAAGTAATCTAAATTTACAAATGCATGTACTGTAAATATAGTACATACTTGTAAATGTATATATTTTAATATGATTTTTATATGCTTTAAACGCTTTTATAGTGATATTATGACTTCAATATTTGCGGTGAACGGACGTAAAGTCGAATAAAATAACTTAAACTTGATTTTTATTTTTCCATGTACTTTTTTGACAAACGACGTATAATCAGGAACGACGTAACTCGAAACGACGTAAGTCGAGGTATACTTGTATTTTATTTCTTCAAAAGATAATGTTTATTAACATAAAGCAGTCTTAAAAATTTTATTTTCTGTTAGTAAAATAACATTAATTTATATGATTTGGAATCACTACTCTTAAGTTTTCTCCAAGTTAGAAGAAAAATCCCTAGCTCCTTCTCTCAACAGTCCTGGATGTGGATTTATTTGAGTCTATAGTTCTAATTGAGTGCATACAGTGTTTAAAAATATAATTTGGATGAAAGAAAATATAAAAAAACAGAAATACTTTATTTATATTTAAGTTTTGATATAACCATCATTCTAGTAAATATTGTAATATGCCCTTTGCACATGTTAACAATTTAAAAAAAAAAATAATTTAATAAATATATTTAAAAAAAATAAAATTTTGATCNTTATTATTATTAAGAAAAAACATGAAATTCCTTCTAATAATTATTTGTCTATTACATGTTTAAAACATTTATACACAAAGAAATGTAGTCTCTCAATAAGTGATACACTGCTGGCCATTAAAATTGTTACACGCAACAAACACAAAATTTGCATGAAAGGTACTGTACAACATACTGGGTGCTCTGTACCTAAAGATTATTACCTGTTAATTTAATCATGTCTTCCTCCCATTATACTGTATTTGTACAATAAACATGATTCTGCTATTTGCTTTCCTTTCTGGTGTAGCAATTTTAATGGCCAGCAGTGTAGATGTTTTTTCTTTAGTTTTTTCAAGTTATTCAAAAAAACTTTTTGAATAACTTAACTTTAACTTTTTGAATAACTTAAAAAATACACATGAAATATGACATCAGTTAAATAGCTGCTTCTTCGATAGATATACATTTTCTTTGGATAAAGTTTTCCAAGATACAGAATTTTTGAATAACTGAGGCTATTTCTGAAAAAATTATTTCAATGCTTTGTTTAAGTATTTGAGTCAACTGAATCACTTCAATATTCTTGGCTGAACATCTGTTCTGTGGATCAATGGGCACTAGTTTATCTTCCATAGAATTAGTTCATTAAATTTTGCAATTAACTTTTGGATTCCTTTGGTATTGAGCACACAATTCTTATTAAAAAGCATGTAAGTTTTTTGCATTATTATTAAAGATTTTTTTCATAAAATATTTCCAGTGATGTATTCTGCAACTGTGTATCACTCTACTTTCCCCCCTCTGACATGCTTAAACAAAGTATGTCACATGTCAAATATTATTAGTAAAAAAAATAGCACAGCAAAAATCATCTACAGTTCAAATCTGGCATTACCTGTTGAGACATCCTTTATGTATACACATACAAACACTTGCAACTTATCAAAAAATTATTTTTTTAATGAACTTTTTGAAAATTAATAAATTTAAAATAAATATAACAGTATTTTTCAATTATTTTAAAATATTTTATGAAGTATTTATTAAGTTTTACATCATACCTGCTTAAATGGGGCTTTCATTGTGTTTATTTTTGATACAGCTCCTGGCATTAATTTATTTATTAACCTGTAAAAAAATTTCATAACATTAAAATTGCTATAATTTTTGTTTTCAATAAGTGTCTTCAGTTTTAAGTCAGCATATTAGATATCTTGAATATTTCTGATGTTAAAATATTTGTTATAAAATAGATTAATGTTAAATTACTAATTTTATTTAATCAATTTTTTAAATATTTAAACAAAACAAAAAGACATCCAAAATCTAAACACAGTATTTTGTTTTTTCCTAGTTAAAATTTTTAAATGTTTACATTGAAATAGAATGTAACATACACACATTTTAAAAAAATCCAGTGGATTTTTGAAATGTATAATAAGATTTTAATTATCGAAAGATATTAAAGCAGAAGACTACATATTATGTATAATTTAAAATTATTGTATTTTTTGATAATCAGAATTTCAGCATTTACCTAAAAATTTTTCTTACGTTAAAAATAAATATGCAGTCAAAACTAAGATTGGAAAATCTCTTTCTGCCTGTTTATTGTTAATTTTATATAAATATGATTGATACCATTTAGTTAGCCTAACTTGCCAACTACACAAATTTTCTATTACTTAGTAATCAAAACATTTTGTATAGCTATTTTCAATAAAATTTTTATATTATGTTATAAATCTTTAAAATTTTATTGTCAATTTTAACACACAATTCAAAAACTTTTAATAATGCTTAATTTTAAAATGAAATTGCAGTAGAGACAGTTTCCAAACTACAGTCCCTGACAAAGATTTATCTGGCCTATGTTGCTTCTAGACAATTAAAAAGATTTGCAATTTAAAAAATTGTTTTACTTGTGTTAAAAGATTCAAACTTAAGCCAAAAAGAGTAAGCAATATAACCATATTTACTTAAAAATAGAGGTCCAATTTTCTTGGTGTCAGAATATGGATATAATGAAGGGTGGTGTCGAGGTAACACAAAGAATAAGAGGACTAAAAAGGAATGTATGTTAGAGCACAACACATGTTCATAAAGTCGGAACCCAAGTACAACTTCCCTTGACAGAGTTTACATAACTCAACTCACCCCTCGCATAGCAGAGGAGAGGGCGCGACGATTATAAGGACAAAGGTCACATTCACAACTTCCTAAAGGTCACATTCACAACTTCCTAACACCCTCTCTATCGGTGTGCCCGGAGTCTGCTCATGCACTGAAAGTAATCATTTGATAATTTTCTTTACAAGCACTCTCGTACACATATATACATACACACACATACGTCATGTTACCTGTCTTCACCATTGTAAATAGTTACTGGTGGTTCTATCTAGACTTTGTTTAGTCCAAGCATCTTGATGTTTGTCTCATGTTTGCTTCTCGGAAGAGCCTTCGTTAGCACATCCGCTTTCATCTCTGTTGTAGGGATGTATTCTGTTTTAATTTCCTCCTTTTCTTGAGCTTCACGGGAGAAGTGATTCCTGATGTCAATGTGTTTACTTTCCCATGGTGAACGGTATTTTTGCTCAGCTGAATGGTGCTCTGACTGTCGCAGTAAACTATCGTCAGCGCATTCACATAACTTTCAAATTGCATTTCTCTTAGCATCCTTCTCATGTGGATGAGTTCCTTGGTTACATCGGATAGGGCCATGTACTCCGCTTCCATCATCGAAAGCGCAACAGATTTTTGTTTCCTTGATTCCCAGCTGATGGGTCCATTTGCTAGAATTATCATGTTGCCTGATGAAGACTTCCGGTCGTCAATATCTCCGGCCCAATCTGAGTCCACATGTGCGCACAGCTTCTGATCGCACTTCTCATAGTAAAGACCGTAATTTACAGTTGCTTGAATGTATCGGAGTACTCGCTTGGCCATTTTCCAATGAACGATAAATGGTTTAAAGCAGAAATGGCTTAACATGCTAGTTGCAAATGCCAGATCTGGGTGCGTCAAGTTTGCCAGATAAAGGAGTCCCTGATAAGTTCTCTGTACGGTTTTCCTTTCATTTCATTCATTTCACTCTGACTGCGGAGCCATCTCTTTTGTTAATTTTAGATTTAATTTGATCGGTGTTGAAACTGGTCTACATGCTTGCATATTAAATTTTTTTTAGGAGATCTTTAGCATACTTTTCTTGAGTAAGTTTTATCTTTCTGGTAGTCCCCTCTCTTTCTATCCGTATTCCAAGAACTTCATTTGCTACACCCAAATCTTTCATTTTGAATTCTTTCTGAAGAATGTGTTTGATTTTTCTTATCATCTCTAAGTTGCATAAGGCAATTAGCATGTCATCAACATAAACTATGATGATAATGTTGTCTCTGCCTTCATTTTGGATGTAAGCGCAAGGATCGGAACTTGTTCTCTTCATGCCTATGCTTAGGAGGTAGCTGTCTGTATAGTACTGCCTTTTTAATTGGACCTTTCAATTTATATCCTTTCCAATTCATTCCATGCTTCTTTGGAAGTTTCTACCCTCTTTATGTGGCTCAACTGGTTCTGCTTACTGCCTAGTAAAATTAATGCTAAGGCTTTTTCATCTTTTGTCTGCCAATCTAGTCGTCCAGGATCGGTGTCTGGTTTTTCTATGGATCCATTTACATACGACCAAAGTTCATTACAAACAAGTATGCTACGCATTTGTAACTTCCACGATTCGTAGTTGCCATCATCGAGTTTATCTGCATGCTGCGTCCCCACACTATTCATGGCGTTGTTCATTGTTCAGATGAGTTATGCCTTTCGTAAGCAAACAAGTATATAGCACTTACTTGAATCTCCAATTAGATCCTTTTCAAATGGTAAACCTCGATCATTAAACCCTTAAACCTAACCACACACTGCTACCATGTCAGAATATGGATATAATGAAGGGTGGTGTCGAGGTAACACAAAGAATAAGAGGACTAAAAAGGAATGTATGTTAGAGCACAACACATGTTCAAAACCAACTAAAGTCAGAACCAAAGTACAACTTCCCTTGACAGAGTTTACATAACTCAACTCACCCCTCGCATAGCAGAGGAGAGGGCGCGACGATTATAAGGACAAAGGTCACATTCACAACTTCCTAACACTTGGAAAATCCAAAAGTTGGATGACTAATTTGGCAAGTACAGATAAGAAAACATTGTTATTCATTATAAAGTTTGGGAAGTATAGATACTTCCCAAAATAAATAATATTTGTGATGTATTTTATTTGTATTCAATGCATTTTCTAATTTTTAATAAAATTCTGATGATTTTTTAAAAAAAATTTACATATATGTGTGCGCTAGATATTAAATCTCTGCAGCCCACTGCTGTTGTCAGAATTAGTAATGTAGCCCTCCTCTTGAAATGTTTGGAGTTTGCTCTCCAAAAATCAATTATCTGAAATTTATTTCAGAGTACTAACTCCAGAAATTAAAGTTTTTATATAATAAACAATCGTCAGTGATGATCTTTAAACCTGCTGTTGAATTTTCATACAAATTGTATTTATACTATTGTTATAAGTTTCTAAGTACAAATAGAAAATTTTCATGATTAAATTAATCATTTGACGCATTAGAAACAGCATTGACACAGGTAAGAATGGTATCAAGCATTTTTTTCAATTATCATGATGATCAAGCAAGGGATTTAGCAGAATTAAAATAATGTAGACTGTAATGAAAGATCTATACTTTTATCTATTTTTTAATAAATTAGACTGATTTTTCATTATTTCTTATCACTCTTACGTATTTAAATTTCTATGCCTTAATCTTTTATCATCTTATTAAAATTAAAATATCTTAAGTAAAAATATCATTTATTCTTTCCCTAGTAAATGTGATCAGTTATCTAAAAATAAATATACAAATATAAACATTTAGATTAATTTATAATATATGAACACACCTGAATTCCACTTGCCGAGTTTTTTCTTTTTATTCTCAAACGTTTTCAGCCTATTTGGATAGGCCAGAAACGTTTGAGAATAAAAAGAAAAAAACTCGGCAAGTGGAATTCAGGTGTGTTCATATATTATAATTTAATATTGCTGAGAAAGAAAGAGAGATAATTTAGATTAATGCCAAACAATTGCTGGATTACATTATTAATAGTAGCATTACTATAGACCAATTAAATATAAAGTAATTTTGCCTAGAGGTATACATTAGGTACCATCTCTTAATAATTATAATTAAACCAATATTTAATAATTAATTTAAAAGGTTCTGGAAGAAAATAATTGATCTGGAGTGGGACTCAAACCCATAACTCCTGTTTGTTGTGCAGATGCATTGTCAATTATGATACCTGGACTTCTGTTCAATCTTCACTTTCAGAACTATTTAGATATAAGCATACTGATTACTCACATCAGTAATTAGAAATGTAATCCAGCAATCGTTTGGCATTAACAAAAATAAATACTTTGGTTATTCAAAATTGTCCTGATCCAATTATTTTGGATATCTATGCTTCTCTACTGTACAGAAACTTACGTGCACAGAACAATTCCATCTTTCAAACAGTCTGCAAAATCAAGTTGATCTTTAAATCCTTTTTCTGGATTAGGAGGTTCAATATCTAAATTTGTAACATTTTTTATCCATTCAAGTGCTTGTAGAGCTTGCTGCATATCAAATTTTGCTTGGGCCTATATAATAAAAACATTAACTATTAAAACATTTTTTATTCATAATAGTAGAAAAATGAATGAATAAAAAGAAAAAAAATGTATTGAATAAAACTCGGTTTCTGAATTAAATGAATATTAATTATTTAATATTGGCTGATTTAAATAACATACGACAAACTATTATTATATAAAATGGATCCAATTAGAAAAAAATTTCAAAAAATAAAAAGTTCAAAAATTCAAACTTCACAAAATGCCAATCACCAAATCTATCAGTTTGTCATCTTTTTGAATTATATAAAATTCTGCACATAAAATTATCTAGCTAAATTCAGACAAAAAAAATTAAAAATATAGCTGATAAACCTCAAAGTAAGGGACCAGAAGGTAAAAACTCAGTTAAAATAGCAAGAATAAAAAGAAACAGAACAAGTGAATTAAATGCCACATTAATAAACATAAACAAGCTTTAATACAAATTAAAAAGTAGGAAATTTTTCTTACGTTTATAAAAACTGTATTTTTGATTTTCAAAATGTAAAAACAGTATTTTAATCTAGTGCAACAATCATTAAAAGTAATATTTTTTATACTAAAAATTAATTAATTTGATTATTAATTCTATGTATGTTTTGAGTAATTTTTTTTATTATTATTCAATTTCATATTACTTAATTTGAGAGAATTATGGAAAAAAATTGTTATATTAAAAAAGTTCAAATTTCAGAAAATTTAAAACAATTTATTACAATAATCTATAGAAAAACATACAAAAAATTTATTATAATGTAAGTTTTAAAACTGTAATTTTATTTTATTAACTATTCTCAAGGCAATTAGAGATTGGTTGCCTTAACTAAAACTTTTACTTTGCCTTAACTAAAACATTTAGAATATTTGATTATTGACGAGACTATATCTCGTCTCTAAAATTACACTGCTGTCAATGACTGCACACCTTAGAGGTATGAAGGAGTACATGCCAGGAGTTGCAATTTGGCACAAAGTATTTGTGTCCAAATCATATGCACATAAAATACAAAATGCCAAGACTGTTTGTAGAAACAGGAGCAAGTGACAAGACCATGTCTTAAAGAATGAGCAACATGTGTTGCTCGTTCTTTGAGACATGGTCTCATCCTAAGAATGATTTCATCATTTCACTTGCTTCTATTTATAATTTTTTAAAGATTAAGAGTTAAAATTTGAAGGAATGAAATTTATGCTATTAAACTGAAAAATTTCATAGAAGAGTTGTAATTTATTTTTCTTCTATTTTAGATTTAAAAAATGCACTTATCTTAAAAATGGAGTAAAAATTTTATGGGAAATGTAAAGTATCAGTTTTCATATTAAACAAGACTAATTTAAAAATGAGGATTTGAGGAAATCACCTATCATTTTTCAATAAAAAACAACACTTTAAAAAACTTTCTACATAAACGTTTTTGAAAATAAAAATATGCAAAATTTCATGTTAACATTTATAGCTTAAAAATAAATCATATTTCAGTGATTCAATATGACATCAAATTATAATATGCTCAATTTAACTTTTTGGATGAAATTAAAGTCATTATTATTATTAAATATTTTATTTCTTATGACTACTTACATTTAATAAATTTTAATTTAAAAAAATGAACAACATAAATATTTGATAAAATTTGAAAATTTGTATTATTATTCTTGGAATTCACCATAAATATAAATCATGTGTATTTTTAGCACTAAACTACTGTTAAATCTTAAAACATTTCATAATTCTTTTTCCTAACAACCTTTTAACTCTCTTCTAGAAATGAATTATTATCATCAGTGGAAATAATAGGTACAGGTAAGCAGTAGGCAAACATTTGTGCAGATAATTTGTGATTGGGCTGCAATTTGAAAAAAACTAACCCATAAATTCCCATTGTTGTCCATCTGTATGTCTTTCCTTAATCTTGAGAACAGAGTTAGATAGATGAAAGATGAGACCAGATATGGAAACCTCAGGGGCAGGAGGTCCCAATCAACTATATACCAACTTCCAATGTAAACCAGAAGTCACATTATTTCAATTCAAAACTTCCCCTGAAAGGAGTTAATATATGACCGGCATGACTATTGTTAAAGGAAAAGTATTATGTACAGGGGCAAGTCAGTAATAATTTGAAGTGGAGAGCATATTTTTTAAATTAAATAAATAAAAAAATATAATTAAAAACTGTAGCCTGGCATTATGACAATGCTACAATAAATAATTGCTCGTTATATATTGTGTTACATTGAAGTTCTTATAAAATTAAAAGGGCACTTACAGATTAACCCAATAGTATTATTAACTGTAATGGTAATGCAAATTCAAGAATTTACAGTCACTGTTTTGTAGCATGTTCAGATGAGAATGAGAGTACAGCTGTCCCTTGATAGTCCAACGTTTTGCAATCCGACATGCTTAGTAGTCCGACACACCTCCCGTCAAGGTACCCGTCCCCATTATGTGTCTGCTTGCACAGAAGCACGTCATGACGTGAATCTCCCCACCCAATTCTTACACGATGACACACATTTCGTGTGTTTTCCGTGAGCAGTTCTGTTCGAACAGTTGGAGTAGGGAATATTGTAGGCTACTGCTAGCAAAACAATGCCAAATATGTAATCACTTTCGGTAATCTGGACACTTTTGGTAAACCGACACCCCTTTGGTCCCATACCTGTCTGATTATCAAGGGACAGCTGTAATTGTTTAAATACTTTGTTTATTACCTTTGAATTCATATCATATCTCAACTAGTGCAAAATTTTTCAATCTACATTACAATGCAATAAAAAGATGGAAAGAAAAATATTTTATTATATTTAGAAATTTAATTGTGTTTATGTTATGTTTACTTTAAAAATAAAAAATGTAATGTGAAATTGACAGTTTACAGCATTTTTGGATAGAATAAACAAGAGTTTTGCTTTCATAGCATTTTTTCTCTGTTTAGGAGATCTGCATGAAAACAGTTAAAAAGAGGAGAGGGAGAATTTTATTGATTTGCCAACTGCCAAGTTTGTAGACTCAATTTTTTTTAATAAATTGTTGTTCTAGTTTGAGCTTGCCTTGTCTTTTTCCCTACATTAATAGTATTACTTCAAATCTTAAAAAAAACCCCAGAATTAGTTTTGAATAAGAAATTAGATATCTTACTTAAACTTAAAAATTAGCATAAAGTAGCTTATGATCTGATTTAACCATTTCCTAAATTTATAATTTACTTTTTTATTTTTATACAGTGATATACACAAAGATAGAGTTTGGGCTTCATTAGCTAGATCTGGCATTAGATTCTATGTGAGAAGAGCAAATTTTTCAAAATTTCAATAAAAATCAGATTACAAAGGAGAGAATATGTAGATGAAAATTACATTTTAAATACAAAAAAAAATTAATTAATTAATTAATGTAATTAATGATTACTTTTTAAGACAAAAAACATAGTATATATTATGGTGTCCATTTTAAGAAATCAATCATGAGAGGAGGGGAAACTTGGAATATGATGTCTTTCACTAATAGAATCAACATTTTAAATGAAATAAGTACAATAACTTTTTCTACAATTATAGCAGCACATTTAGCAAAGAACTGTTACTACCAACTGTGCTGCTGTTGTTATAATTTTTATTACCACTGCCTTTTATTTAGTATTACTTTTTCAATTCATTCTTATCATTCTGTTTACCTTTTTATTTCCTAAGCTATTTCATCTATTTAGTCATTGTGATACAAGTCTCTCTTATTACAAGTTTGTATAAATTAATTTTTTTAAAATTGGCTATATTTCCAAGCTTTACTTTCCCCATATTTATTTCATTCTATCTTTTCAATTCCACATTTCCTTCCATTAATCAAAGCAGTATGTCTGGCCATAAGTTTTATATCCTCTATATAACAATGAAAAAGTTTCCTTATGCAATTATTAAGTTCCAATTAATTAATCCTGTCAAATTAAAGTAGAAGATCATCAATAAAAAATGCTGTGCCACATAGTTTATATCTGCACTCTATACAGTATAGATATCTCACAGTAAACAATTCACAAGGTTGCTGACCTATGTTATCAGTTCAGATGCTCTGTAAAGCAGGATATGGTTTCAAGAGATGTAGAAACATTTTCAAAAGAGCTGCAGATTAGTGAAAGTTAGTAAAACAATTAGTTTCACAATTAGGATTAACAGAAAATTATAAAGAATATAATCATATACAGAGACCAATTTTGACAGATTTCCTTAGATCCTCTTAGCAACTCAATATTAATTTCTGCTGTTATAAAAGACTAAAGGAAAATTTCACAGATATAGTTAAGTCTTACAGATCTTAGTTATAATCAAAAAGAAACAATCATACTTTTCTTATATTCCATTAAAAATAAATTTTTGTATTAAATCAGAATATCAAAGAACTAGCAGATTATTATAGGCTTCCAATGAGAATAATACAAAGATTAGAATACTGTATAAGATAATAAAATAATTCAAGTAGCAAATATAGATGAGGAGAGTAAGAGGAATTTAAAAATGCTTATTGATAGATTAGAAGGAGAAATTGTTAACCAAGATGTTAAGGAATCATGGTAATACTGTAACAGTAAGAAATATGCAGCAACATTATTTGGTAATAAAACCAAATATTGTTACATTTAATAAGACTAGAAGCAAGAGTTACCTAACCTTAAAAAAAAATCTGTACATTGTACAACAAAGTTTTGAAAGAATGGAATAATACTACTTTTGGATACCCGATGCTACTTTTTGTTATTTCAAGAATTTTTATAATACATACATAATGCAGACTTTCAATGAATGATGATAAAAATGAAACATTAAATTAAACAAAATACAAATTAAAAAATACAAACGCTTTCTTTTAAGAAAGCATTTGTACTTTTTTAATTTTAGAATATTGCCAACTGTAGATAGTAAGAATGGAATGATTATCAAGTTAGCCAATTAACAATGAACAATCAGTAACTTATTATTTTTTTTAA